ATGACTGAGGATGGAAAAAAAAATAAAGATCTCACCCAGCACAGTTCATGTTAACACCACTGCTGCTATCAGAGAGTTCTGTGTCAAACCCAAATTTTTGCAAAATGTCTGGGTGCCCACATGTCTGTTGGAGAGGAAGAGATGCTCCTGGGCAACTTTGATCCCTTTATTGATAGAACGCAATAAATTCTCGTTACTGAAGTGGAACCATCAACTGTCAGTGAAGCTGTTAGTAAAGAGATTGCTAAGAGTTAATGTGTATGTGTTCGTGTGAGGATGTATCAAGGCAAATAATAATAACTACTTTTGTCAGGTGCTCTTTTCAGTCCTTTTCTTTACATCAGCTGTTCTGTAGGTTTTAATTTTCTTTTTCCTTCAGGCAATATTTAAGCATGAAGCACTGTTAGCTAAAAAAAAAAAAAAAAAAAAGAAAAGAAAAGGAAAACAAATGCAAAAAAAAAAATGTCTTGAAAATGACATTTGTTCCCAATGGGTTATGATGCTAGGAATTTACTTAGCTGTTCTGTATATCTTCAATTATTATGATTTTGTAGAATTAAACAGAGACTTTCACTCCAAGAAAAAATAGCAACAAAAATGATCCTCTGACTCAGCTCTTCATAGGAATTATCTTAATCCTTGTTTTCTGCAAGATGGAAGTAAGGACCTGAGAGTCACTGAGTCTGGATGATCTGGAGTAACACACTTAATCCTTTTTCCTTCCATTTTCCTTTGCTTTTTTCCCTTCTTCCTTCCTCACAGACACTAATTGCCACAGTGTGTACAAAGGGACATTGCAAGTTTGACTTTGTCTGGCTTCTGGCCATGCTCAGCCCTGAATCCAGCTTAATGTCTCTGAGGGAATATCATCAGGATTGTGTATTTCCATACTCTGCGTACTCCTCCCCCCAGAATTAATTTCTTTTTTGTAAACAAAACAGCTACAAGTGGACTGTTTTTCAAAAGTGGGAGTCCTGGTTTTGTTTCTCTTGCTCATGAGAAGTTTCATTCCCAATATGGAAGTCCTAAAGCATGCCTCCTGGGCAAAATACAGGCTGCCAGTCAACCTATGATGCTGGATAGAGGATTAGACCAGCCCCAAGGGAGGAATCTGATGAATGCTCTACAAGGGGAACCTCTCAGACTAACCTATCCCCAAAATAAATTTTATTCTATTATGTATGGGAGGTAATTGGGCTGAGAGACAGGCATTAGTCAATGAAACAGCTTTTTAAAAGAATCTTCATTGTGCAAGCCATTTAAAAATTGGCTGGACAATGAACTGCAAGAATATAGGAATTCATTTCACCCTGGCCAAGGAGAAGAGAGAGAGCATGTAGGACAGATGAACTAATGTCTTTTCTGTTGCTAATTGCTGTAATTCAGAGAAAGAAAATGGGATGAGACCACTGCAGCAGGAGAGCTGGGAGACCCCCAGACCAGAGGGGTTAACACTTGTCATTCTTAATCATACAGTTAGGATCTCGTGACATGAAGACTGCACAGGGTACAGATACAGACAGTTCAGGCGGCTCCATTTTCCCCACTGGCACCGTCTCTTTATGACTTATTGTGTTAATTAGCTCGTCTGCTCTGTTCCACAGCTGAGCAAAATGTATGGTGATCATCATCAGAGGAAGAGAGGGGAGACCGTGCCCAGCTCCAGAGACTCTGCTCTCCTGCACCAGAGTGGCTTTCAAGGAGGCTGCTTTCTGTTCATCCCCAGGGGAACAGAGTCTGTCTAGCTCAAAGACAGGATGGCCCTCCCTTTCTGATGGTCTCCTGAGTCTCTTTTTCGGGCTTTTTGGTCTCCACAGAAGTCTAGGGATCTGCAGCCCAGTCTGGGAGTTCATCTCTGCATCCACAAAGAAGTACTGTGATACTTCTAGTACACAAGTACTGTGGACCTGAAGGGTGAGGATTTTTTCCTTCTTTAGTTTTGACATCAAGAAAATTTCATCAAAATCGGTGCTCCCTCATTAAAATAAAAAATTCTACTGTTTTTTTTTTATTATTTTCTTTTTCTTTTCCTTAAAAAAGAAAGAAAGAAAGAAAGAAAGAAAGAAAGAAAGAAAGAAAGAAAGAAAGAAAGAAAGAAAGAAAACACCCAAACACATCTGAGACTCAACTAAACTGAATCCTATCCAAAGGAGAGAGTATGTGTCAGTCTAGTACAGGAATAAGTGAGGCTCATGGGAAGGAGTGTCCCGGCCAGAGGATTGAAGGTTGTTATACAAATTAATGTGGTAATTACAGTATCATCTGGAGAAAGCAACTGTGACTATGTCCCTGTTCTGCTAAGTACTGTATGCACTGTAATAAAAGAGAAGTCCTGGCATGGTTATAATCTCAGCAGACAATTCAGAAAAAAAAGGTCCATTATTACTGTGTCAAAGATGAGGAGCGAAGGCCCAGAGATATTTTAAAGGTGCAGTAGTCACCATCACCCCTGTTGTTGTTTGGTCATGCTATGTGCAAGAGTTAATTGAAACTCATGTATGAGGAAAGGGTCACCTACAAATGCTTTCAGTCAAAGCCAGAGAATTGTTGTAACTGCAAATTTCTTCCAAATTCTTTTTTTTTTTTTCCTCATTTTTTGAAACTTTCAAATAAGCATTGAAAAGAAAAGAAAAAGGAAAATTGCCTTCTCTGATCATCCTTTGTTGCAGAGATATGGAAGGGATTTGTTGTAATTTTAAAGAGGGAGTAAGGCTGGATAGGAAGAATGCTTTCTGGAAACAAACAAAAATTATAAGGGAAAAAAAAGGTATAAGAAAAGGCAAAAAAAAAGTTCCCATTTTTTTGGTTAATGGTTTGTGTGTGTTCATCTGCTCCAAACATGTCCCCCCAAAATGTCTTCCTAAAAGTAACCGTAAGAAGGGACACATAAAGAAGGTTTTATAGAATGGTCCTATTTAAGTTCTGCCTTAATAAAGCAGTATTTATAAGCTATCAAATGAGCAGCCATTCAAAAACTTTAA